CCCCCCCCTCCTTCCACTCAGAGCGGTGAGCTAATCGTGCGCGAGACACAAAGGGAAAGTTATAGTTTCTATTATGCCGATTATCGCTCGAGGCGTTCCTCCAGCGTACTCCCGAGTGAGAGGCGTCTCTCGCAATAATTTATCTTTCACCTGTCAGCGCGATCCTACCATTTCTCTCTCTCTCTCTCTCTCTCTATCGTCGAGCTCGTCTCGCGCGCGCCGCCGGGAAATTATTTGTCTTGCTCCTAATCGCGTTCCTAAGTTTGAGCAAGAGTTCCGTCTTCGCAGCCTTCTGCTCTCGAAATCTGCTAAATTGCGATTCCGAATGTCCAAACATGCTTGAGTAATAATAATAATAATACGGCTTTTAAGTGTGTCAAGTACGCTAGCGATCAGGGTGTATATTTTTGGACCTCAAGAACGTCTGGTTTTGATGAGCGTCGTGATTTTCGATGGTTCCCGATGTCCTTTCCTTCCTAACGAGTTCGGGAATTGACATGTTGAGGTCAAGAATATATTTTGCAATCGATGTATACGCGGACTTCGTTTCGTCTCGCGAATAGAGAAGATCTGTCAGAATCAAGTTCATCTGTGACACGAAACAAGTTTTGAAATAAAAAAACCGAACTACGGGCAAGGTATATTTCCAGTTGTAACTTTGGAGAGCTACCAGAACCAATTTCGAATTCAAAACGTTAACATTATTGTCGTACGACACTCGGTCGAATTTCTCGATATCGCGCGCCCCAGTTAAAGATTAAATAAATCAATACGAAGAAGGTCATCGTATGTCATACTCCTATGTAACATATAAAGCGAACAGAGAGGGACATATCTTGACAATAGCAAAAATAAATAAGAAGACGAGAAAAAATATATTTGGAATTGTCTCTGGAATTTGCTGGACGGAAAGTCCCGAGAAATTGAACCCGGGACTTTCCGTTCGCCGAGCGACTTTCAGGTAGAACAGAAAATAACGACGTCAAAATGATAAAAACAATTATCGAAAAATAAGTTCTTATAATAATTTTTCCATCATCGTGATTTTCTGTTCTACCTAGGCTGCTCTTATTACTGAGCTACCCACACAAAGAAAAAGATTTTTTTGGATTTAATAAAATTTCTTCAATTGAAACAAATTTGTCTTTTGAAACGGAGCAAACAAACGAATGTTTGATTCAATAAACAGGATTGTTTGGTTTTTCAAACGATAAATATATTTACGTCAAATAATCGATTTCTCTTGTATTTTCATTTAAACATTACAATTGTTATTACAAGCAATAAATTATTTGAAAGAAGTAACGTTATGTTAACAAAATATTAAAGAACTTCTTTGTTTCAGTGTGGAACAATATTTAATATATAACGAAATAAACTTTTTTTTATTGAAAACCAAATATTCCTCTAAATTTCCTCTAAAAATTTTTGCTTTTCTACCAAACAACATGGTTACTTTAAGGAAACACCAACATTTTCATTCAGACAAATTAATATTTGATATTAAATTATGCCGTTTATATATTAAACAAGCTCAAGTCAAACACGTCTACTAAATCCAAAGAAACCTTTTTCCTTGTGCAGGCTCCCCCTCCTGATATATTCTCTCTCGACTTCACTCACACTATGGTGGCATGTGATCCGAGGCAGCGCTCACCATTAAGATCCTAGACAAAATGAAAGGAAGGGAGGAAGGAAAGAAAGAAAGAAAGAAAGAAAGAAAGAAAGAAAGAAGGAAGGAAGAAAGGAAGGAAGGAAGTATGGAAAGTGTCTCCCGTCCTCTTCTGTGTTATTATCAAGATGGTGTGTCCTTCAGTTCGCTTTGCATCTTACACCTACGAGCGGGCAGCAGGCTAATATCGGCGACTCGTCTTCCTCTTCTTCACGAGAGGCCGCCGATGCGTGGTTTATCGACGAGCGGCGAGCCAGCGGTTCCGAACGGGAAGTGGAAGGGATCTCTCGGCGTCGTCGATGACCCAACGTACAACGACGGCAGCTCGGTGTTACTCGGTGTCATTGGCCTCCGCGGTTCGCATGTTAATTCCTTGTCGTTCACGTGGCCGCACACGCAAGTCGTCTCCGCGATCCGAGCCCCTGACGGCGGGGATTCACTTAATCGGGGGATCCCTTTCGGCGGCGACATGTCCGAGAAAGCCTCCTTCGAGACGGCCGGCCACCAGCCGCACCAGTTGACCTTCGAGGAATTCCACGAAGCATTCGAGGAAACAAAGGGCCCCCGCCACTACCGGTCACACACCTTGTGCTGCTGGTCGCGCCGGTCACTCGGTGTGTGTCGCGTGAATCGTGCGTGCGTGTTCTTGTGCGGCGCGAGGCTCGTTCTCTCGGCATTCGTGCATCGCAGATCGAATGCTCATCGTCATCGTCCGCGCAAAGTGAGGTTGAAAGTCGTCGGCTCTGATCATCGCCGGAACGAGTCAGTCTCGGTCGAGTACGCTACGAATCAGGCACGGAAGATTCGCAGCGTCAGCTTTGCTCACGGTGGAATTATTTAAAAGGAAAAAAATATACCGAGTTAATTAAAAAAAAATCTCGAGTTTTAAAAGCTCGGGGAAACCAGGTTTTTCCCATTTTTCCCGCGGACTTTTTTAGTTCCTTATTTATGGAGAAAAGGTAAGCGTGGCAGGTTTAATGGAACACACATGAATTTTTCGAACCGAGTTTTTCTACTCTCGGGGCAGAAATCAAAGAAATCCGAGTTTTTAAAACTATAAAGAAAAATTCTTATAAGCACTGGAGTCGGAGATGGGTGTCGATACGAACAGAACACTTTTCGAATAGAGATATGTGACGAATGTGCATTCTATAGAAAAAGATTTCTGCATCAATTCTGGATGTCGTGGTACAAACGTTACGAACGTTTACCTTAGCATTCGAGAGTTAACACATTCGGTACGGGTGACGAAAAATCTCGTTTTTAGTAAGCCGAACGTTGTGGCCGGGCGACGAGATATCTCGTTTTCTTCGACTTAATCGATGACTTAAGGAATTAAAAATAGATTTTCTTGTTACGTTACCAGGATAACGAAGTCTCGCGCATTTTCGAAACAAATGGTTAGCGAATAAATGTGTATATAATTGTCGCGTTGAGCGAGTAGAGTGCCGTACGCAATGTGTTAATTTGATTCTGTGCACGTGTCGGAAATACGGAAAACTACCGGTGGATGTTGATCGGGACAAATCGCCGGGCTATCAGAAGCGGAAGCGTGCTCAGTTAGGTCTGGACTAATGCAAATATGTAGTATTGATATCAAATTGCACCAGTCCCGGCCTGATTAAGTATGCAGGAAACAACTCTGCCACTTCCGTCTCGCACGATACGCGAGAAGTGAGGATTTAAGGTGAACGGTAGGTACGATAATGAGTGCTCGTTTCGCATAGGAAAAGAGAGAGAAGGAGAGAGCGATACGCGAATATTTCGTCAGAGCAAACGCGCCTACGTGGGTCTCCGAGACGTCGGAAGCTCTGTGAGAAGATCAGGTCTTACCATTGTATGCTTATTGTAACACGACGAACGGTCGATTGAAGCCGTCCGTCGCGCCGTCTCTTGTGATCGAACGAGCCGCCGGTCCTTTGTCTGGCGTCGGGACAAAGAAAAATTCGATCCTCCGGCGATAGTCGTCGGCCGCGTACTAACTATGCATCATATACAGGGGAATGTGCATCCGGTCGTGCATCGAGAGTAAGGGCGCGTATCATTCTTACACACACATACACGTGCGTGCGGGTATCGTATACGCCGCGCGTATTGTTTAGCTCGATAAGCCTCCATTCTCTAAAACGAGATAAAGCGAATAATAATTTGAGTCGTGCCTACGTGCTACACAGCAGTTTGTTGTATTGCACATTATATCCCGGCGCGATACGTCATAACTTTAGGAAGCGGTAGAGCCCGTAGTTTGTTATAAACCACTATTGACGACGGTAATAATAACGCGAGTTATTAATTTGCCACGGCGACGGCGGAGCTCATTTATCCCGCTCGCGTAATAATAAGTTCTCCCCCGATCGTATCTTTCGTTCCAGCGAGGACGAGTTTGTCGAGACACTTACGATCCTCAAGTCCAATCCCCATACCGCCAAGAAACTACACAAAGCCATGGTGGAGGAGCTGTACAAAAGCATGAACGCCGACCTGGAAGCCATGCTGGAGGAGGACACTCTGCAGGAGGCTCTGGCCAAGGTCGCTAGATTGTCGGAAGACAGCACGGTGTCAGCCGACAAGGAAGCTTGGTTGGTTCATTGTTCGTTGGGAACTCCTCTTCATTTCGCGTCTTCTGTTCGATCAATGCTTCCTCGATTCGAATTCGCTGTTTCGATTACAGGCGCCCACCGGGAGACGTGGCTTTGCATTTGAGATCGTTGGACGCGTACACGATCAGGCAGGCGACCGAGGAGCTGGAGAAGCGGGTGAACGAGATGGAAAGGGAAAATGAAACCTTGATGAAAAGTATCGCAGAAAGCAGATCGAGGATATGCGCTACGGACGACAGTGTGAGGAAAATCCTGGATCATGCGCCCGTCGTGTTGCAACGGTTGGAAAATACTTACCAGCAGTTGACAACTTGCATCAGAGCGATCGATAGCGAATGACTTGTATATAAAATGTGTATTTCTTATGAACGTTGAAGATTTTGTCGAGAGTAGACGTCTACTTATTTATACGGCTACGTAGGATTAAGAATGAAATTATATTTATATATATATAACTGCATAAAGCCATGGTGGAGGAGCTGTACAAAAGCACGAACGCCGTCTAGAAACCATGCTGGAGGAGGGCATATATATGTGTGTGTGTATCGTTATATAATTAAATAATTATAATTATATATAAATCTATATACTTACATAAGCCTACTGTATCGTATCGCTAGTAGTAGCATTGTCTCTCTCGTCCGTCTTCAGATGTTCCAGAAGCGCGTTTATTCGTTTTTGCGTATCTTGCGCGGCGTCCCCGCGCTTTTTCATCAATTCTCGGAGCAAAATCGCGTTCTTTTCCTCAAATGAAAAAGATTGGTTTATGCGATCTGTGCCATTGATTCGAATGCTGAAGTGGAACGTTAAAATTACTTCTTGCTCCTTGATCATAGCTCTCACGTGGGCGAGTTTTGCGCCGTTCTTCTCGGCGTTTTTTTTCAATTGCTTCAGTTCCTGCATCAACGCGTTCCTCTGCGTCGTCAATTCGCTGATCATCGCGTGAACTCTCTCGTCCGGATCTTCGTAACCGCTCGACTTCTCCACGCACGCTTCGTAATTCAGACGTATCTTTTGCAAACGCTCCTGCATACTCAGCTCTTCCAGACGCGTGTGGTCCAACTGGAACTGCGCCTTGTACTGCAACTGCTTGACGTCGCAAATCTCCATCTCCACGCTCTCGTACTTGTCGCGGCAGCTTTGCAACTTCGACTCGTAATAATTGATGTTTCGCTCCATCCGCTCGAGTTCGCTGGTAAGGTCGATGCTCTCGCCGGACTCTGCGTGAAGGATCATTATCTCGGTCGCTTGATCATTGCGTTAAATTCGTAAGAGCAGGGACAATGAAAGACGGCATACCTTGCGCGCGTCGCTCAGCGAACCCGCCGGAGTTCTCCCGGAGTTCTCCGTTGTCCATTTTCAGGGGACGCCGACCGTTCGCATTCAAAGTGCTTTCGGCAACATGGCGGCCGTTGCGGCAGAGCGGTTCCCGCGTAAACCAGCGCCAACCTCGCGATTGGCCGAGCTGCGCCAATGGTACGGCGAGCTTCGCTCGAGTTTCGCCGCGTCATCCGCGAGATGGCGGCAGCGGTCGATCGGCGCTCGCGACGCAGCGGCGCGGTGCCCGCGGTTCGCCATTGCGACGTGATTGCCTGCCGAAGTTTCGTGTTTGTGCGTGAGAATTCGTCCCGGGTCCCATCGGATTTTCTCGATCGGCGGATCGCCAGCCACGAGTGAGTAAACGGTCAGCTTTTAGCGCGCGCGATCGCGATCGCGCGACGGAAGGGACGGTCGCGCGCGCCGAGAACGCGACGGAACGTCACGCGTCGAGAGGCGCGTCGCTTCGAAGGGACACGTTCGATTTTTGTTTCTTTTCTTTCGGGGGGGTTAATTCCGCCGAGCGTCGACGCGTCCTATCGCCTCTCTCTCTTTATCTCGCACGCGCGTCCGTCCCTCCCTCCTTCCCTCGCGCCCTCCTTCGATCGGCGCCAAGCCGATCTCGACGCCCGACACGATTCCGCTCGACCCTCGTGATTTTTCACGCGACGAGAACGTCTAGGCGCGACAACGAGAACGCCGTGAGCGGCAGCGTTTGGAGGTTAGACGCGCGACGACGCGCCGCTCCAGAAGCGCGCGGTGCCGCCGCGATGATGGCCGAGCGAGAGAGAGCCGATGCTTGCGGGCGGATGATTCCAGAGAAATCGTGAGCTTTCTCGTTCGCGCATTTTTCCCGGCTATCGTGGATGGACACAACGCTGCGACACCGTGCGACGACGACGTGTGAGTGCGTCAGAGCGAACACGTCGACACGCCGATAGAGTCGCGCTCGAGCTGCGTGGCCGAGTAATTGTGTAACCGATATTTTTACGACGGTCGATATTTATTTACTTTCCGAGCCACTGCCCGCCAGTGTGCTCGAAATGACGATTTTCGTCTATCGGCACGATTTACTCGCGTTCGAACAGGCGGCCGTTGCGACCGTAACACATTGTTTACCCGCTGCAAAGAGGTGAAGGAGAATTCGATATCTATACGCGAGCGTTATCTTCCGAGCGCGATAAGCGCTCTGTGCGCGCGACGGGCGACTCTGAGCAACATTTTACGTTTCTACTCGTATATTTAACGCTTTAACTGTGACGTTCGATTCTCTCGCGAGGTAAGTGAGATGAAGTAAATACCATGCACGACCTTCGCGTAGGACAAACAAACCGTTGAATCGGCCGTACTCGACACAGGGACGGCTACATTTAAGGATAAATAATCAAATTCTAGCCGCTCTTGCGTTTTGTTGTATACATAGTGTCTCAAAAGTATCGTATAATACTTTATTATTAATGAATTAATATATATATAATATTTGAGTTACAAAAGAATTGAAAAAGACGACCTTTTTCGTGAACGAAACATCTTAGAAAGTCGAACGAATAAAAAAATTACCGTCTTGGTTATTTATAAGTGAAGTATATTTGAATAGAGTTCTTGCTAAAAGCTGAGTTATAAAGATATACAATGTTGAAAATGGCAAAGTTGCGATAAGTAACGACCTCGCTCGACATTTTCGTAATATGATTATTTCGGATCACCCTATATACTTAATTTCTTCAAGCTGGTATAGCGAAATGTGCGCAGTGATGCGACGTAGTACGCATAGATTTAGCGACGATAAATCCTCTTTCCTGGGACGGCAGGAATTTTCTAATGAAAAAATTAACTTAATTTGTTACGTCGTTAATGTCGAAGATTATCGTTTTTCCCGCTGACGAGGATGATTTTACGTTTTCGTTGATGCGAACAAGCGTAACGAATCGTCCGGCAGTGACCAACATCCGTTCCCCAGAGCAATACCTTCGTTCAGATGAAGAAATATGTGACTTTTTCTGGCGCGTCCAAACAAGGCGTTCGTGTTGCACCGTCAATAAACTTGTATTGAATATATTTTTACGAATGCGGTATGTTACTGCGCGATCAATGCCACGAGATTACTTCAGTTTTCAAAATATGACAGATATCATATCAGATTCGGGTGAAGCGGAGGAGAGGGCAGATCTCACATCTCAAGTGTATCTTACGGTTTCCTCATAAGAATTGTCTCTATTTCACGAAATAGTTCTCTTGACTCTGGAGTGGTCGCGTACTTAAATGCAACATGAGTGATCGTGTATTCCGGGTCGAAATTTGAGTTCTACATTACATTTTACATTAAGTCTTCAAAAGTCTTCGATTGTCCCTTTGATGATACAAATGGTAAGTTATTTTCGTTTTCTTCACTCGAAGGCTTAATGTAGAACCAAGTGGAGTTAATAGGACAAAAACTTCGATTCGGGGTATACACCATTTTAAATTGACATTTTCAATAGAAAAATCTCTTTAGAAGGTAATAATATTTATTTATATAGAAATAACAATCATAAAAAAGATTTTATTTGAAACAAGACTAAAAACACTTACCTTTTTTTTTCAATTTAAGAGCAAAAAACAAATCAGGAACAAGTTACGAGGGGATCAGTATTGTTTTCGAAATAATCTGTTTAAACATTAAAATATGATGTATTGATAATATCATTTTCAAAGCAAGTATATTACATACATAATTTCATTCTTCTGGGCAAGTCTAATTTATGCATTTTTTGCACGATATTCCGGTGGTCTTATTGCGCACTTTCTCGCAAGGAAAACAACGACTTCGCGCTCCCAGACATGGATTGTTTTTCTCTCAATAAACAAGAGCCATCCGACAAATACACAGTGCCGCAAGATGAGTGCTTTTTAGTATTTTTCGAAAAATGCATTTTAGTGCACATGAACAACACCTGTGAGCTACGCGACCACCTATAGGGTTAAATAAGGTCGTTGAAAATCGGGACGAAGATTCGCGGCGCCGAATGCCCGAAAATTTCACCGGGAACTTTGGTGCAACACGCTTATAATTAGTACCGCATTACTTAGTGAGTGAGCGTGGCTCGTATTCAAAGAACAGACGTCTTATATTCGCACGTATGTGTCATGCGCCGGCTGATATTAGATTACGCGTGGACGGCTGAAAATTCCCTGAGCAACAATTCTATTAATAACCCGATCTGGAAGACATTTTTACCTCGCGAGCAATCGTTGGAGCACGACGCGTTTCCTGGCGGCGCTGTTTGCCTCGCACTTCGTTATGTCTCACGGTTATCGCACTCGCGATAATTACTCTGTATTAATTCAGACCTAACCATCAGTGACATGACGCGAGCGTGAACTCGTTTGAGAAACCGAAATTCGTCCGGCCTTATTTCTCGAAGTCGAGTTACCGCGCGTGAACATTCGAGGATCGATTCTCACCGCTCGTGTCTGCGCGATCGTTACAAGCTCGAGATGTAATCGGGGACCGATACCGCAAGACGGATTTCCTGAAATCCAAATAATTCTCCGTTCATTTCCCCGAGATACGTATAGTACTGTTCGCGCGTGTGAACGAAAAGCGCGAAAGAGTCAAGAGTAAACACAAACGCGTTTTCGTTGAAATAAACGGAATTCTGGCTATAAAAACCGAATTTGTTTCATAAGAACCAAAAAATCCGTTTCCTTCGAAATGCGTTTGATTCGTTCATCGTCAGATAAATCCAATCAAACTGTTTCCCGTATGTTGCTGTATAAAATTCATAGAGAAAGCACACGCTAATTTCAACCTGAGAATACGTGCAGTTTACTCATCATTTATTTACACCGCATATATACAAAAGTATTAATATAGTTCAGCGGTTCCCTTTTCACTCGTTTCTCTCTCTCTCTCTCTTCCTCTCTCAACAGCGGTATTCACAATTTGGCGATCGTGTAAACGAGGGGCGGGTGGAAACGTCCGATGGAACGGATCCAAAGGAAACTCGAGCCCCTTATTCGTTATCGCGATAGAGGGGGTCAGAGGGGGAGGCTTAGTTTGGGCTAGGTCAAGTCGGGTTAGTTCGTCCCCGAGTAGCAATCGAGGGGTTAAGGGTTCGGAGGCGCAGGGGGACAGCTCAGCCGTTTCATCCAATTTCTCGGCGGGGACGGGAGAGTACGGTGGTTCGCCTGAACGGCGGCGGGGGTGGATTTCTGTCGACTACCCCCGGAGTCCCCTCGTCCCGCCGCTCGACACAATGGCACAACAAAGCGTTACCAGGGTAACTGGCCGACGGTGCGGTTGCCATCACAAAACTTTCCAACTTGTGATTGCAAACATTAACGTCGCCGCGGCACACGCGCGCTGCCGTGCGGATTCACACGCACGAACGACACGCGTTCTCTCTCTCTCTCTTTCTTTGTCTCCCTATTTCTCTTTCTCTCGCACTCGCGCGCGACGCGCGTGCCTGAGACACGCACTTTGTTGTTTCCACTAAGTACCGGGTGGAAAACAACAACGGCGTCGGCGACGGCCAGAGAGGCGAGCCGGCGGTGTCGGTGCTTCTTTGTGAATCGTTATGGTTCAAGGTTTCGCTTTATCGCAGCCTCTTTGTAGGTTGAATTTGTTTTCCCTTTCCGAGGGAGAAAGAGAGAGAAAGCGTGGCCTCGTGTTCTAGCGGCGGGTGGGCTCGCAAAGCTCATGATACAGCGGTAACCGCGAAATTTAATCACGAGAAACGTGTTAATGGCTCAAATCCACATTAATACGATTGGACGAGCTACTCGTTGCAATGCACGTAAATGCCAGCGCGGTTGGAAAAATTCAGACGTCTAAATTTTGGTTTATTGTCGACTAATTTCGTTTCTAAGACACGCTTGGAATGCTGATAAAGATACGGACATTAGTCAACTAATTGCCTCGTAAGCAGAGGAGAGACTCGAGTCAGGCGAGATCGGCGTTGATCAACGTCGGCCGGGACCGAGCGTAGTTGTTAATTCAAAGCCGCAAGGTTCGCCGATTCTAGGTCTTGAGAAAACGCGCGGACTGACTTACAGTTAGCCTTGATTATTTTGCAGTCTCGGCGGCGCGGGCGCGAGTTAGTCTCACGATTTATGCAAAGAGATCGACCGTCACCGACGCGCACTGGTCAACCTTGATTATACTTTTATCATTTGAAACAGGTCCGGCACTTTCAGCGCGTAGCACTGACACCACGTGCGTGTGATAACACGTGGGGATACACAGCAGAGAAAGAGAGAGAGAGAGAGAGATTGACCTAGTTGCGCGTGTAATTTCATAATCTAGCTTAGTCGAGTTCTCATATGTTTTTACGCTAAACGGGTTGTCACGGGACGTTTCCGTACGCGTTGCGGT